AGCAAGGGATGGAGGAAATCTACAACTTTATGTTAAACAGTGATGAATGTCAATTTACTATTACGCAACTTAAAGAGGCTGTCCAACATTCAGACGTAATTCCTTCTGAAGGGACTATCAAGAAGTATTTGTTACAAAGATTTCCTGGTCAAATTGTAATTTCCAGCAGGATGGGCGGTGTAACGTATGTATGTTTTTCAAATAACTTATATGACATACTCACAGATGCGTGGTACGCTAATAAGTCAAATTCGATCGAAGATGAAGAAAATAAAATTATTGATTCTGCTGAGGAATTAATTCGTCGAAAAATTAGAAACACTGTTTGTCGTACTAATCAGTTTCCTGCGAGTGATAAAATGTTTGATGATTTTAACGAGAAAATACCACCTCTTTTACTTCGTCTTTTGAATAACATCATTTATAAAGATAAAGAGCAAACTTTTGAAAATGAAAAAAACTACGCAAAAAAAAATTTGTTTCATCGCTCATGCTGTTGTTTGTGCTGCCCGGCCTAAGAGTTTTATTTCGCCTCTTCAGCTTGCTGTTGGAGCTACAATGTTCAGAAAATGAGGATCAAGATAACTTCTTGATATATGTTACAATCTTGGTTTTTCTTGCAGCTATTCGGAAGTTAAATTGTATGAAATTTGTGCTGCTACCCAAGCAGAGAGAACCCTATCAAATCTGTTCTTACAAATTGTTTCTGATAATAGTGATTTTAATGTTTGCACAGTAGATGGTAGAGGAACGTTTCACAATCTAGGATCAATAGAGATTATTACACCAGCAAGTGGTTTAGATAGCAAATTGCCTATAGAACGGATCCATCGTTCCTTCATACCGAAAGAGACAGAATTGGTAGAAAAAAACAGGATCGACCTTTTAGTGTACACCAAACCCCCAGGTTCTGGTTTGAAGCTTATAAAAGTGAAAAGTTTCGAAAAAGATCCTTCGTTCATAACAAATTTGATTGATAAGCTGAATGTTTTATGGATGTATTTCAAGTATGTTAGACATAATGACTTTTTGGGTTGGAATGGCTTTATGTCAATGTTAACTAATTGCAAAGAAAATTATCAACTTTCGGTCGTCAATTTTTTGCCCTTTATAAATGGGGCACCGAGTAATTATGGCACCCTATATACAGCTTTAATAAATGCTATTAATATCGTTTCAAAAGAAGACATGAAAACACTCATGATCACATTCGATCAGCCGTTATATATAAAAGCACGTGACATTGTGGAAACAATACTATTTCATAAAGTTGTGGTTGTCGTGCGTCTTGGCGGTTTTCACCTACTCATGTCTTTTATGGGATGCATTGGATATATAATGGCAGGTAGTGGATTAAAAGAAATTTTATTTCTTATTTATGCTGAAGGATCTGTAGAGAAAATTTTGAACGGCCATTTGTACGCGCGTGCAGTACGAGCTCACATTATCCTTCAACAAGTTTTATCTATTGTGATAATGGATGAATTGAAAAATGAAAACGATGAGTTCCGCGAACTTCTCGAAAATGAAGAGGCTTTATCTTACGAACTTAATATCTATGAAATTCAATCGAATCCAAAATTCAAAAGAATCAACGAAATATTTGAAGAAAAGCTTCACAAACTTGAAGAAAGGGGTAAAACTTGTAAGCTGTGGGTGCTATATTTTAGAATGGTATCTCTGTTGAAAAATTTTCTTGCTGCTGAAAGAATGGGCGATTGGCTGTTGCACTTGGAGTGTATACGTCTCATGATACCTTTTTTTCATGCGGCTGGACACTAACTATTCAAAATCTGCAAGGTTGTACCTTCAAGATATGGATGAATTGGAAAAAAATGGATCCAACAGAGGACTAAAAATTCACTAAGGACGGATTTTTTACCTCGCGTAGAAGCAACAATTACTGGTCTGGAATATTTTCGGATCAAACAATTGAGCAAACTTTAATGTGAGCCATGAGTGTAGAGGGAGGGCCATTCAAGCGTGGTTCTTCAGAAAGCGTTGTTTTCAAGTGGATCAAAGGTATATTATACACAAAAGATATTATCGAAGAATTAGAAAATTTCTGTAATTTACAATTCAGTAAGAGTCATCAGCATGTTGATTCAAGAGATGCCAGAATAAACAGAGACAAAAAAGATGCACTTGTTGTAAAAGAGTATATGATCGAACATAATCCCTTTGAAGACAATAAAAATTTACGAAATATTGTAAATGGCATACTTGCTACAGACGAAATAAATTGTTACAATGCATTGGAACTTGGAATTGTAGCTATGAAATCAATTAAGGGCAAAAATTTTATGGAAATAAACAATCAAAAAAAGACAAGGTCGTTCCATTACTTGGAGTCAACAGTAAATTAAAAGTAGGTGATAAAACTATTCTTGTGGATCCTCTTTTACTTTTTCAAAGGATTTGTGTCATGAAAAAAAGTGACGAAGAACTACAATCGTATTTAAAATTTGAATTGGCACCTTATCCTCTCTCATTATTTGACGAAGCAGGCATGAGAAAAACGGCTAAGGCTTCTGTGTACCCATTATTCCAGCTCCTTGAAGTCACCTTAGATAAAAATAATTCTCTGTACGTCATTGATGGTGGCATGCTATTGTATAGAGTAAAATGGCCAACAAACTGCAAATATGAGAAAGTTTTTCAAGAATATGTTTCTTATTTAAAGCGTAATTTTGGCAATCATATCATCGTAGTTTTTGATAGTTATAATGAGCATAGTACTAAGGTTATTGAAAGAAGTCGTCGCACTGCAAAAGATAATGTTAAAGAATATCATTTTTCAAAAGAAATGATGGTGCCAAGTCTCAAGAAAAATTTTATCTAATTATAAAAATAAAAGTAAATTTATTGAATATCTAATGGAAGAATTAAAAAATAATTCAATCGATTGCTGTCAAGGAACAGGCGAAGCCAATGAATTAATTGTTGAAATGGCCATGAATGATACGTCCAATTTTCAAAAAATAATTGTTGCCGAAGATGTAGACGTACTAGTAATTTTGACTGACAGAGCTGAAGCTGACCAAGAAATTAATTTTTTTAAATTGGGCAAACAGAATGCAGCTTCATCGGTGTATTCTTCAAAAAGCTTTGAAATAAATTATTCAAGTAGCACAAAGTTGATTGCTTTTGCACATTGTTTTACAGGGTGCGACACAACATCCGCTTATTTTAATAAAGGAAAAAAGAAATTTTTTGAAATTATTGAAAAAAGAGCTGATTTGAGAAAGCAGGCAGAGATTTTTTACAGTAGCACTTCACATGTTGAAGAAATTCTAAAAGCTAGAAGGTACTGTTCCATGGTTGTGTATGGTACTCCAAAAGATATTCAAGAAAAAAGAATTGAAAAAATTAATGACTTCAACCAAGTTCTTGAAAAAATGCGCTATGAATCTTTTATAAAGGCTACAACTAAAAATAGTGCCGTCAAATTATCTTATCTGGTCCCTACGACAGATGCTTTGGATGAACACATAAAAAGATGTTATCTTCAAATTCAAGTTTGGCTTGGAAACAAAAACTTCGATCCAACTGATTGGAGCTGGACAATATATGATGGTTCTTTACAACCCATTAGAATGCACAATGCACCAGCACCCCAAGAGCTATTAAAAATGATATTTTGTAATTGCAAAACAGGGTGTGGAGCATCATGTGGTTGCCGGAAGATAGGATTTTTTCGCAATCGAACATGTGGTGGGTGTTTTGGTGAAAACTGTCAAAACAGTACCCCAATTCTGGACGAAGATGAGGAAGATAACGCCGATAGTGAAGACGACCAATGTTGACCTTATTTAAGTGATTTTTTATTACAATGACTTCTTTTTTGTAAATATTTGTAGCTATTATTATATTTTATATAATCTTCATGTAAAATGGAACATTGCACGGCATTATAAT